CACTAGAGGGCTCTCCCAGCACAGGCGAAGGGAAGCAGTCATGGCAGAGAGAGAGATGGTCCTGAAAAAGGTGTCTGAGTGGAGTCCTCCATGGCACCAATACGAATGGGACAGGTAAGATATATGGAGCCCTTGCTGTGAGCCAGGCACTGTGCTGAGTGCTTAAACACGTTTTCATTTTATTCCCACTGCCACCCCATGAGATGGGAATTATCATTATTCACATTTTATGGCTGATGACACTGATGCTCAAGATCACTTTATTGGTACCAGGTGCTCCTGGGATTCAAGTCTGGGTTCTGCTGAGCCCAACTGCACTCTTCAGCCCTGCTCTCTGAGCAAGAGTTGGCTAAGGCTGAGACGGCTGCATGGGCCAGGGTCTGCAGTGCAGAAAGGTGCCGGCCACCAGGGACACTTGCCAACGAAGTCTTGCCATGCTTTCTCTAAGTGTCTTAGGTCAGGGTCCCCAACCCTGGGCTGAAGACTGGTACTGGTCAGTGGCCTGTTAGGAACTGGGCCACACAGCAAAAGATGAGTGGCAGGTAAGTGAGGTCTGCTGCCTGTCAAATCGGCCAGGGCCTTAGATTCTAATAGGAGTGGCTGCACATGCAAGGGATCTAGGCATGATCATTATGGAATCTAATGCCTGATGATCTGAGGTGGAACAGCTCCATCCAGAAATACCCTCCTGCCCATGGGAAGATTATCTTCCACGAAACCGATCCTTGGTGCCAAAAAGGTTGGGGACTGCTGCCTTAGGCGACTAAACACATTTAATCCTTGAAACAGCCTACGGAGAAAACATTGTCTCCAGGTCACAGATGCAAAGCCTACAGCACAGAGAGGTGGAATACTTGCCCTCAGTCATCTTGCTGGTAAGGCAGGACCAGGTTTCAAACCCAGCTGGGCCAACATCAGATCCTGGCTCTCAGCATGGGCACCCTGCATGAGCGTTTGGGAAACAACACGCAGATCTGTGACATGAAGGAAGCATGTGCCCTGGTGAGTGCCCAGACTGGAGGGAAAGTGCGTGCGGGAGAGACCTTGTCCAGCGGGCCTGTGCACTGTGCCCTTGAGCTTAGACTTTACCTTCCAGGAGATCAGGGTGGGGAGCTGAGGGATTTGAAGCACCAGGGTAACACGGTCCAATTTGCATTTCAGTGAGATCCAGTTGGATATCGTGTAGAGGGCAGGCTCATGTAGACAAGTCTAGACAAGACCAGCCAAAGGGGTGGTGCAGAGCCCTGCCTGCCAGCGAAGGCGATCTGAGCATGGGTGTATCAATGAGTAGGAGGAAATGAGGGAGGCAGGGACGAGTTGTCAATTTTTGAGCATTGGAAGGGTTCACCCTTAAAGATGAGAACTGTTTTTTTGGCAAGAGCCCAAAGTCTCTGTTGCAAAAGGGAGGTAAACAAGGTCACATTCATGTCTAATTTGAGATGATTCAACTTTCTCCTCCTACCCTCCCTTAGCTAACAGGAGCTCAGCCCTTTGTATAATTACTGTCCTGGCACTTTCCTGAAGGTGTCTAGGCTTCCTAGCTGACCTGTCAGTGTCCGTTCTTAGCCTCCTTTCCCCTGAGTGACTTTCCATTACAAAGCCTAGGAAGTCACCCACCCAGCCTCACAGCTCAGGTTCACCATGCGACCCAACCCTTAGCCATGAGATGCCAGGGAACATTTGGCTTTTTGATAAAGAAAAACCCTCCTCCTCCCCCAACTTCTCTCTTCCTTGAATGAGGATGTAGTGTCCGTAGGGCACTACATGGTTGCCATGCAGGGCCATGGCAACCACACGACAAGCAAAGAGGAAGAAATCATAGGAATTGCAGAGATTTGGGTCTGACACCACCGAGCCGCCACTTACCCTCTGAGTTTTCATTATGTGAAAAATAGAAAGTGCTATTTGTTTAAGTTACTGTTGGCCAGTGGTTATTTCATCAGCTGCTGAAAACAGCTCCAACTGATGCCTGTGCACCACTCCTCCATCCCTGACTGTCAACACTCACTCCTGCTGCATGGGCTGGAGACACTGGCCTCACCTCCTGCTGGTCCCTGAATGTCTCACCAAAGGACAAGAGATGTTCTTGCAGAACAAGAAGTCTTCCTTTTTCTGTTTGCAGGGGAGAGAGGTCCCTATGTAGGGCCATTTGGTAGTCACTTTCAGTTCACCTGCAGACTTTATTTTCTGTCCGAGGCATACATCCAGTAGGGGATCACTGGGTCCGGGGAAAGATAAGTAGCAGTTGTCACCTGGGCTTGAAAGCCACCACTTCTGTCCTGCCCGATTCTACTTAGAGAATTTCCTGGCAAATCACAAGGGCCTTTGAGTGTGAACAATTAATCTGTCTGTGTGTATGATTGTGCAGGCTTGTGGAATCATCTCTGAAGTTCTCACCTGCATCATCTCTCAGGGTTTTTGACAGATACAGGAGAGCAACCACACGTAAATCTCCTTGCATGGGTCAGGGTGCACCTGCCATGTGCTGCGTGGGGGTTTCATTCCTGGTCTTTTCCAACAAGACTTTTTATAAGATCAAGTGTGGCAAACTCTGGAGGCACCAAGCAGGAGGTGCTGCTTCTTCCTGAAAAAGGCTTTCCCTGTCTACCCACATCAGAAAAGGCCTCATTTGGTTAATCCAAACCTTCCACGCTGACTTTGAAGGCTCTTTTCTGTGGCTCCTTTTCTGGCAAATGGAACACAGCCAGTCTCCTCCACAGACAGTTGCTGATTTTGTGTAGTGTGAGAGGTAACTTCCAGCCATTATAAGCATCTGTCAAACTTCACTCCGGTGATCTTTCTCAGTAGTATTTCCAACAGAATTCAGGCTGAGCCCATCCCTCCAAATGCAGGAAATGAGTCGTCTTCCCATTTCCTGAGCCACTGCACAGGCTGGCCTTGTTACCTTCCGAGACAATTGTTGGCCAAAGCTCTGAATTAAGCCAGCTCCACATGATGAGCAGAGAAGCAGGAAGGACCGTGTATGCCGACCCACACGTTGGAGAGATGGGAAAGCAAGATGCCATTTGAACCCCTGCCTGGGGGCCAACCCAACACCAGCAGCACCCCGAAAGGAAGTACTCTTGGCCTCCCTAGAGATTGAGCTTAACGCCAGTTGTTTCTTCTTTTCAAGATAAAGCTGCTCCGGGAGGCACATCCGCTCCTCAATTTGGACCAAATTCAAACCTGGCAGCCATGTGACCTTTTTATTTAAATCCAGACTCTAAGCTAGTTTGATCCCACAGTCCCAAGGAGAGGTGTCTCCCTTATCTCCCTTTTCCTCTCGAAGCCCCCCTGGCCCTTTCTGAAGCAAAGCCTCAGGCCTTGTGGCAGTAGAGGCCAGACGCAGAGATGATGTCTCTTTGGGAGCCATTGAACACAGTGCATTAGGGAGGTTTGAAACGCTGGCTCACTTAGAGCTCCACAGGGCTCTGTGCTCCATTTGGGGAATCAGATGCTCCTCTACCCTCGCAAATATGCTTCCTGTCCCGCATCATGTTTAGTCAGTTCCTGTAATAGTCAGGGCTCTCTAGAGAACCTGGATAGTATGTCTATCTCTCTCTCAACATATTTAAGATAGATGATAGACAGATGATAGATGACAGGTGGATAGATAGATGACTGACAGATAGATGATAGATACATTAGATGATAGGTAGATAGGTAGATCACAGATACATGGATAGATTTAGATGTAGATACAGATGTGTAGACAGACAAATATAAATATAGATGTGGGGGCTGGAAGGTCTTAAATCTGTGAAATCCCTTGAGTCTTGCATGATTCTGAAATTATGGTAAAGAGTAAGAAGAATAATAATCTGAGGAACTCAGTAATACTACCCAGCTTCATAGAAAATGGATCAGCTAAGTTGTCCTTACATGGGCTTCAGATTCCCTGGACACAATAGCTTCCCAGGCCGGCCGCAATTCCTTTACAAGACCTCCGCTTAGACTGACCCTCCCTTACATAGTCCTCCTTTTGACTATGAGGCCTTGGTGTTACAGGGGTTGGATCTCTATGTAACATTCCAGATGCCTGTGCTGTAATCAGCAGTCAGACTATGCCCCGTTGTTAGGCACGCAGGATGCTGTGTAGTTAAATAAATAAAGCCATAGGAATTTAATTGGACCTGAGTTCAAATCCTGGTTCTGTTTCTCATGACTTGGATGACCTTCACCAAGTGCTTTACCCTTTCTAAAGGCTCAGTTTTCTTCAGCCTATCATTGCACGGGAATTTCCTAAGGCTTGTCGTGAAGAGTCGATATCATGTAAGTGATGCTTGATGAAGAGGTAACAGGTAAGGAGTGTTCAGTGAAGCACTATTCTCCCTCCTGTCACCACTCACAACAAAGTGACCAAGTAATTTTAGTCTAAAATCACTCAAATCTAAAACTGTAACTATTAATGTTCATCCCTGCTTTTTTTCTCTAGAAAACAGGAACTTCAGGCAAATGTGTTGGGCTCTTTGTCCACGCTATTCGGTTCTGCTCACTACAGTCTGCTGTAAGCATGTTCTTGTCACTGCTGGGCAGAGCAATGGAGGAAGGAGCAGCTCTCCGTGGTGAAGAGTCCAAATCCTCCACACAGACCATGACCTCAAGCCCCTCACAGAGGTGCGGTGAGCAGAGCCTCTGGCACTTGCTTCTACTGAGGAAGCTCAGAGACTAGTTTGATGTTTAATTACAGTAAGGACATATTCCTCAGCTAAGCTGATGCACGACACTACCTCTTTGTTTCTTTGGTTCTGATATTCATTATATTCATTTCCTTTATTAGTATCAACCTTCATGTAAATGATTTTATTTGTAAAAATGGAACAACGTAAGATATGAATAAACTTAGTGAATCAAAATAATCCTGATTAAATACATCAATCACCAGCCAATCCCTGGATTACTTCCCCTCTAGATGCCGTGGCATCTAATATAACAATATACACGTACTTATGTCTGTATATATACACGTAAGCATGTGCTAGCATGCATGAGTAGGCCTAAGCTTCCTGTTTTGTTTTTCCTAGGCCCCTGCTTAATGGAATCAGGTAAAGTGCTGATTTGGATAGAGACTGTCATAACCCTTTGCAAAAAGAAGATAATGCACTCAGGAAACAGTTACAATGATATCAACTGTGCTTATAGAAATAATTTCATATCGGAATAAATACACCTAGAGAAAAGCATTCACACAGGCTGAGCAATAACTTAGGGTTTGATCAGCAGTGCAAGAATTTCAACACTGAAGAAAATGGTGAGATGCAGCACGCACCACCCCTTCCTGGGGCTCCAGTTTTCTCCACTGGGGTGAGATTTCCTGCCTGAGACCAGTGCTTTCATTGCACTGGACAGGAGAAGAGAAAAAATGAGTTAGCTTCAATTTTATAAAAATCCACAGAAAGAATCAAGAAAAATCTGAGGTTATGAAATCTGTGTACACTAGCTTTGATTTTAGGGTGGTGACATAGCTGAAAATAATTGATTTATATTAAAACAAAAAAGCCTATTCAATTGTTAAAGAAAAAAAGTCAATGATATTTGTATTTAAAAAATGCACTTTTGTTTTGATCTTGTTTTCTCTTTTCTCGAACCTGAGTAAACTCCGTTTTTCTCTCCAGACTTGGACCTCTTTTCACTAAGGTGCTACCTAGTTACCCTGCTTGTCTCTGTCCAGTGCTGAAAACAGCTCCCTTCCTGACCCTGACTTGTAAGCAAGAGTTATACGATTAGCCTTGAAAAATCAGCAAATGAGTCTTGGCTCTTTGAAGCAAATTTTTTTTTCCTGCTTCAAAGAGTCTGAACTCTTTGTAACCTATAAATAATCAAGACAAAAATTATAAAAGTTTAGGCCTTCACAAGGCTGTCAATGAATCACTAGACCTGCATTAAAGATAAGAGTGCCCAAGCTGGTTTTGTATTTAAACAATGCTTCTCATTAGCTCAAGCACATAGAAAATGCAGAGTAGCTGTCATTCTTTTACTTTCTGCACCACAAATAGCATCATTTAACATCCATCAGGGTACTGGAAAACATGTCTACAAGGTATTTGCTCTGTCACATTTTAGAGGCCTTCTAGCTTCAGGAATCTCCTATTCAAACGTAAATACTTCCAGAAAAAGAAAAAACTAAGATTTAGCCAGCATATACATGTTTTCACGTGTACACACACCTGAAGGAAGATGGTGGCACCCAGCTGAGCTTTAAAGTATTCTTGAGTTAATTGGTCAGGTGAAGGACATAAGCAGGGTGCCAGAATAATTAAGGTGAAGGAAAGGTCTAGAAAAATATGATGGATATGTTCTATAGACAAATGTTATCCAATTCACTTTTCTTATTTAGAGCTTGAAAGTCTATTTGTCTTTCACTCATTCATCCAGTACAAGTGTGAGTCTATGCCTAACCTTGAGATCTGCCCAAGAAAGAGTTTTTTTTGCTACATTTAGCAATGCCATGGTATAAAAGTTTCCAGGAAGGAGGAGGTGGTGGTGATGGAGAAGAAGGTAGAGAAAGCTCTCCTCTAGACCAGCCTCTGCCACCACCTTGTGCATATTTCTTAGCTAATTGTCCTGACAGCTCTACTGGGCTCTCTAAAATGGGCTCTTTCCCGTTTTAACACCAGATCTGGGAGATTTAGTTGCAAGCCCAATTTGCACATTACATAATTGAGTCTAGAATTTCAATATATAGTCAGCTGTAAATTAGGAAGTATTATTTTCTCAAAATGCATAACCTAGAGATGGGCAGCTGATGGTGTTATTTTAGAGCTAGCTGGTGTGAGGGATGGCTCTCTTTGTTCTCTTGGTCTTTATTATATGCATGTGACTTGGCCATGACAACATGGTACCTCCAACTAAAAATTATATCTCCAATTAAAGCAAAAAATACAAAAGTATTAGTTTTAACTATTGTATTTGGAAAGAAAACAAATGTTCTAGACCCCTCCCAATAATCACATATAATTCATTTGTCTGAAAAATGACATGACGCTACTCCTACTGTCAAAGAGGCTTTGGAAAATAAGTATTGAGTTTTCCAGCCCCTATAGTGAAGTAAAAATAATAATAAAATGTGTCTTTGATTGCCTTATTAGTAAGCTAAGTACATCGTCTGCCACATGATAGACAAGGAATAAAATCTGGGTCATTAAATACAGATTCTATTCTCCCCTACCTCCTCCTCCACCACATGCACACACATACTTTCCACCGTAAGATTGCTGGCTTCTTTTCTGAATCCATATCTGCTGAACCATGAAATATATATATTTTCAAAGAAAGGTCATTTTCCATTTCAAGTTGCTGCTATTTTAAAAACAGGCTACGTTATCTGTCTAGGCAGAGCAATGCATAATAGAAACTCACCATGTCAAGGATCAGGGACCCTTGTTTTTTATCCTGATTTGGTAAGAAATGGAAGATTTTTGTCCACTCTATATTTCAGATTTACCTGTAAATATGAAGAAGCATGACCTTCTACCTCCTTACGTAAGATGTATTTTGTGTGATACATTTGTACATGGATTTAAAACACTGTGTATAAGCTCTATAGATTGGAGTGGTACCAATAATATCACTGTCCACTCCTACATACAATATCTGCTCATAGCTCCATAGCTTAAAATCACTTTAACATGGGTAATCATATTAGAGCCTTTCTTCATCCATTTATATGTTTAGTCTGAGTAGGAAAACATCTCACAGTTTCACATCAGGCAACAACACCTCTCACAAAACACACATTTTTCGTTAATTTCAATTGAAATCGAAATAGCTTTATACATCTCGTTTTGTATAGTCTCATTAAGAGTCTCTTAAAGTAATAACTGGCACAATGCTCCCTTCTCTCTTCCATTATCTGCCCCCTGCCAACAAACCCAAAGAGAGGAACAGGTCTGTCACCTGAGTGGAAAAACTCTACCGACCCGAAGATAGTGGTGCACATTTTTGGGAGAAGTGGTCCTGGTTGAGGGATGATTTCATGAGCATGTCAGTAAACAGTTCAAAATAACTGATTCTGAACAAGATTCATTGTTTTCTCTGGCTGAGAAGCAAAGTGTTCGTTTGCCCACCTAACCGTACCCAGGCTGCCACCTTCCTTGGTTAGAGTGGAGTTTTGGTAAAAACTGGAGACTCCACATGGTCTGACCTCTCCCTCCTGCTGAAGTAAGGGGACTTCTGTGTCTTCTGCCATTTAGAAATGCTGCTTACAAAGTTCAAGTAAAATGTGTGAATTGGGCTGGGCACAGTGACTCACACCTGTAATCCCAGATCTCTGGGAAACCAAGGCAGGAGGGTTGCTTGAGACTAGGTGTTTGACACCAGTGTGGAAAACATAGCAAAACCTCATCTCTACAGATTATTTTTTGAATTAGCTGGGCATGGTGGCACACACCCATAGTTTCAGCTATTCAGGAGCCTGAGATAAGAGATGAGATAATTGCTAGAGCCCAGGAGCTTAAGGCTCCAGAGGGCTATGTTGTGCTAGTGCACTCCAGCCCAGGTAACAGAGAGAGATTTCAATAAAATAAAGCAAAATAAAATGCATGAATGGATAAACAAATCTCATTTATTCATATAATGGATTATTAGGCCACAAAAAGTAATGAAGTATTTGATACATGCTACAACTTTTCACTTAGTGTAATTTTCATCATGTGTTCATTATTTGAGCATAATGTGCACAAAATTAGACGGAAAAATCAAATACCGTATTATTTCACTTGTTTAAAATATCTAGAATAGTTAAATCCATACAAAGAGAACTCACTAGTGGTGGCTAGTGTCTGGGAAGAAAGAAGCAAAAATGGAAAGTGACTAAGGGTAAAGAACTTTTCTTCCCAGAGATCATAAAACTATTTCGGAACTAGACAGAGGTATGATTGCACAACCTTGCAAATGTGCTAAACGTCATTGTATTTTCCACTTTAAAATTATTCTTTATGTCATATGAGTTTTACCTCTGTAAACAAGCAAACAAACAACAAAAACATTAGTGTAATTTACCTCAACAAGAAAACACTGTGGGACTCTAATCCAATATATAGCTAATCTGACATCGTGGGCAACTTCTGCTGTGAATTCGCTGTGCCTTCCACTGTCTTCTCTGGATCTGGCCTGATGATATGTTCTCGGAGACTTTCCACCTGGGGGGCTATGAGATATGCAGTGGGAGAATAGCATAATGTACTAGGTTGGTACAAAAGGAACTGTGGCTTTGCCACTACTGCACTACTTTCCATGGCAGAAACCACACTTACTTTTGCACTAACCCAGCACCATTTACCCTCCAGCTCCCTCTGTCAATATTTAAGCCTGTGTTTGATCTCGGTGTGGTGTAAGACCTGAAACTAAAGCCTTGATACCTGCTTTGACGTCTGGTGAAACCACTCCAGCTTCGAAGACTCGAATACGCTTCCCGCCCCGCTCTGACTCTGTGGATAGGGCCTCCCAGTCAAACAAGCATCCTTATCCAGGGACTAGACATAGTTCTTTTTCATCCCTGAGAGGAGCCCATATACTCCCTGCCAGCCTGCACAGTTACACAGACAAGACAAGTGGTCCTTCCCTGGAACCCAGGGACATTCCCCCCTCTTGAGACTGAGAAGCCTGTCTCCCAGTCTTTGGCTGTTCTCCCTGTTCCTGAGTTATAAACTTTTGACCCATTGCTCAAGAGTGGCCTTCGGGATAAAGAGCACTGGGATCTCTCGTATCACTGATACCCACAATATAAATGAAGGCGGTGTGTGCCTCCACAGATGCTAAGGGTGGCAGAACAAGGCCTGATCCCCATGGAGTTCCACACGTTATTGGCAGTGACCAAAGCCTTCATTTTACTCCTCAAAGTGCCTAATGCTGAGTTCTTGAAAAAGCCATTGCTAGATTTTTCACCTCCCCCGCAGGCCCTGAACAGTTGGCTTGATTGAGACATAACGGACTCTTCAAAGAACTCCTATTAAGGTACAAAGTAGCAAATGGGTCTATTGCTGGGTGTCACTGTTGTCAAGGGCACCTACTAGTCTCATTCATACGTCCTGGGGACAAGCATTCACTTGCCAGTGCCACACAGATCCCTCAATTGCCCTTACTGGCCATAACACCTCAAAGGTTCATGCTTTTGACAGCTGCCCCACCACGTGGCCCTCTCCCTACTGTTCTGGTACCCACTTCACTCCGTAGGGAGATTCTTCTACTTTCCAGAAGTCTGAATGAGGCAGGAGTTCAGCAGAACTGGTTTTGCAGGGTCACCAGAGCCTGCTGGGAAAATGACATGTGGTAAAGAAGTTCATCCAAACCCGCCAAAACCAACATGGCAAGGAAAGCAATCTCTGGTTGTGCTTATCACACACTAATTATAACACACGAGGGTACTACAGGAAACTCCCAACAGCGCATGACAGTTTCCGAATGCCGTGGCCGCACAGGGACCTTACCCTATATGTTCTAAAAGGGGGAAGAAACTTAGTCCTTACCCTATATGTTCAAAAAGGAGGAAGAACCTTAGTCCTGGAAAGTGCTCACCTTTTTCCCGGAAAATTCATGAATAATTCACCACTTGTTTAGAATATGATCAAGAAATAATCATAAAAATAGCCAACTAGCTGCCCTCAGGGCTGCTCTACCCATGGAGCAGCCACCCTTTTATTTATTTTTTTTACTTTCTTAATAAACCTGCTTTCACTTTACTGTTGGTTCACTCTTTAACTCCTTCCGGTGTGAAGCCAAGAACCCAACTTTGGGGTTTGCCCTGTGATATCAGCAAACACCATAGTCTAAACTGATGCCAGGGCATCAAAGGGCCAATGGTAGTATAAGTCCTGACATTAAGTTTCAATAAGTAGCATGTGCTGCCTTGACATCTGGAACTAGGAAGGCTTGCACAGCCTGAGCCCATGGTACTCACACAGGCCTCCCAATTAAACAACCTGCCTTGTCAGGGAGACTAACTAGCAGTCCTTGCCTATTCCTGAGTAGTAACATTTAATTACCCACCAGCCCACAGCATTATTTAAACAAGCCAAACACATCTTCCTACAGAAACCAGGGGCACCCCGTCCTCTAGCTACTACAAAGCCTGCCTCCCTCCTTGTTCACTCTGTACGACCCCCATGTTGTAGATTCCTGATTTTATCCAAGAATATGCATCAGAATCATCTATGGAAACTTGTAAAACCTGCAGAGCAATTACCCCAAGACCAGCGATTCCGATGTGAGGGCTCTGGACTGGCTACGGCTGCTGAATAGTTAGGTCATGGGTGATTCTGGTGTTCAATCAGGTTGATAACCACTAGTCCACGTCAACGCTCTCAATATATCCTGTGCATATGAATCACCTGGCAATCTTCTTTAAATGCATATTCTGATTCAGCAGGCAGGGGACAGGGTTTACATCTGAAACTCACAACAAGCTCCCAGTGGCTGTGGCTGCTGCTGGTCCAGATACCACATTGTCCATGGCAAAAATCTAGACCAGTGGTTCTCAGCCTTGGATGGTTTCAGAATCGCTGGCAATGCTTAAAAACAATTGATACCCAGGCCGTACTTTAGATTAATTCATCAGAATTTGTAGACATAAACTCGTGTATCTGCATTTTATCAATGTTTCTAGGAAATTCTGATTGCATATAACATTTAGACATAGTGGTCTCGATGGCTGTTTCTTAACCTTTTTCATTTTTCTTTTATAATCGCTGTCCTAAAGAGCCTTTTTAGGGATATATTTTCCTAATTGCTTCTACTGCACTCCTCATAAAATTTAAACCACTGATATATATTATGTATCTGTCCATGTCCTATGGCCCTTTAGAGAGACACAATCCATTGTAATGTATAAATGTTTTCATCTCCTCCAACAGCCAATCTCTCTCATTGTGAAGAATATTGACCCTATTGAGAACGCATGGCCTGAAATGGCAATCTTTGAGCACCATTCAACTTTCTGGTCCTTTGACTATGATCACAGCTATCGAAATCCCAAGGAAATAAGCAAAACAACCTAGAGAGACTCTATGATGTACAGGAAGCAGAAACTCTGTTTTCAGTGTTGCAATGTCTAACGAGGAGGAGCTCTGGGATGCCCCTATAATGTATTATTAACACACCTTTTTTGTACCTGCCTGGCATGGAAAGCCCTGTCCTCTGTTAATGCCTCTCTTGTGTGTATGTGTGTCAGAGGGCGGGGGTGTCTTCCCCCATGGAGTGAGGTTTTGGTGGTGCCATCACACAAAGATTCGCTGCTCTGACCAATTAATGAGCCTGTAGCCCATGACAGCCAATCAGATACTGCTTTTTTGGAATTTGAGTTTTGAGCTCGGAGACAGAAAGAGTGGCCAGGGTGAAGCTGTGTTCACTCTGTGACATCCCAACAGAACTATCATCAGTGTCTAAATTTCAGCTCCTGTAGTCCTTTCTGAGATGAATCAGCCATATTTCCCTTTCCTCAGCTCCTCCTTACTTTCCAAAGGTTTATTTTTTACTTATTAGTGAAAGTGGCTTTGGTCACCTACAACCAAGCAACCTTAATGATATTCTGTATATGCAATATATAACCCCACAAGATTATGTTCAACCTACATTTTAGTCTTTTTAAAATAGTAATAAAGGAAGAGAGCTCACCCCAATAGGCACTTCAGGCCCAGGGAGGTATCCTCTTCTCGCCAACCTTTGCCTCATACATGGCCTGACTCTGGGTGCTTAGACAGCTGATATCTGATTGAAGGACTAAGTGACTCATATATCAGAGAAAATAACTTCTGCCCATGCTGAGTCAGACACGCTATCAAAACTTGCTAAGGCCAAAAACTGAAACAGACAGAATATTTAAACAGTATCTTCCTCCTTCCCTCTTTTCTAGTTCTCTGGTAACTTTTTCTGCCCACCATTTCCAGCTTCCTCAAGCTCTTCCCATAAAGTAACACATATGCTAGGCCAGTCTCAACATCATCGCTAAAAGACATTTATCCATCTTCTTTCCCTGTCCTTCTCTCTGTAAGGCAGCAAATAGGCAACCTGAGACTGGACCAAGGTTAGGACTCAACGGCCAGCCCAAGCCTTAGTCTTACTGCCCTCAGACTCCAGGCTGTGTTTCAGAGCAGGGATCCCAGCGCTGAGACACAGACTGGACCAGTACCATCCATCTCTGGGAAAACTCAAGGCTCCTTGCACCTCTTCACCTTCCTGTCCTTCTGTCCAACCCCCTTTCCCCAAAATATACACTTATTATAATTCTCCAAGGATGAGACTAAAAACTGGAAACTGAAAGTCAATGATTGGCCAAAAAGACCAGGTCTAGACCTCTCAGAGCATGTAAAGGTTACAGCGTAGGTAGGAATGCCACCCTCCCCTGGCCTTTTTTTTTCCTTTGTGTCGTGTCAAATCTTAAACTGGAAAGCTTCTTCTCAAAGAGTGAAAAAGATCAATCATCTTTTTCTTTCTTTCTTTTTCAGCCAGACCTGTGTCTACTTTTGGCTTGGCTGGCTTGGTGCCAGGCATTGAGGTCAGTTTCTCTTTCTGTAGGTTTCATTTCTTCTGCCTGATGGGCCCTCTCTGGTTTGGCCACTGGAGGTAAGATCTGAGGTTTTGTTACAGGACAGAGAAATATGTTACAGGAAAGGGGTCTTTATCCAGACCCCAAGAGAGGGTTCTTGGATCTCGCTCAAGAAAGAATTCAGGGCAAGTCATCAGCACAAAGCAAAACCAAGTTTATTAGGAAAGTAAAGAAATAAAAGAATGGCTACTCCATAGACAAAGCAGCCCTCAGGACAGCTGGTTGCCCATTTTTGTGGTTATTTCTTCATTATAGGCAAAACAAGGGGTGGATAATTCGTGCCTCCCATTTTTAGACCATATGGGGTAACTTCCTGACATTGCCATGGCATTTGTAAACTGTCATGGTACTGATGAGAATGTAAATCTCTGAGGATGGCTAGGGATCACTCTTGTGGCCATGTTGGTTTGGGTGGGTTTGGGTTGGCTTCTTTACTGCAAACCTGTCAGCAAGGCCTTTATGACTTGTATCTTGTGTTGACCTCCTGTCTCATCCTGTGACTTAGAATGCCTTAACCATCTGGGAATGCAGCCCCGTAGGTTTCAGCTTCATTTTGCCCAGTGCCTATTCAGGATGGGGTTGTTCTGGTTCACATGTCTGTGGCATTTGCCCCCTCCCTTTAATAAGAGAACCCTTAATCCCAACGGTTGCAGAGAGATGAAGATCCATCTTCTGTAACTTCTTCAGGCTGAATAGTGGCAATGACATTCCTACCTAACTATATGGTCTCTTATGTTCAGAGTAGAGAGAAGCTCAATCAGAAAGCATCAGTATGGTGAGGGCCGTCCACGACTCTTGAGTTTTAACTAGAAGTGGTATCTGGAAGATTAATAAATGTTTAGTTTAAGAAAGCATTCTGTAAGCTTGCTCTGTATTTCTACACAAAGAGTATAACAGCGACATATCCCACAAGAGTAAAGCAAAGTTATTCCAAGTAAACGAAATCAGAAGGCTTTTCATGAACTGGTGAACTGTTGGAACTAAGCTGGTATTGGAATATATACTGACAGCACATTTATATAAACACAGCCCAAAGAAAACCAAACACCGTTTTATAATAACCAATTTGACAATCCTTTCTATATTATATTTGTACCAAATAAGCCAAATTTCACCTTTACATCAATGTACTATTAATGTTAAACTCAATTTTTAATAAAACTTTATAGACATATTTACCCAATTTTAACGTTTAACCATAAGGTAATGTACTTTTTTTTTTTTTTTTTGAGACAGAGTCTCACTCTGTCACCCAGGCTGCAGTGCATTGGCATGATCTCTGCTCACTGCAGCCTCCACCTTCTAGATGCAAGTGATTCTTCTGCCTCAGCTTCCCAAGCAGCTAAGATTACAGGTGCTCACCGCCACGTCCGTCTAATTTTGTATTTTTAGTAGACAGGGTTTTGCCAGTGTTGGCCAGGCTGGTCTCAAACTCCTGACCTCAGGTGATCCACCCTCCAAAGCCTCCCAAAATGCTGGGATTACTGGCGTGAGCCACCACACCTGGCCACCATAGGGTACTATTCTTATAAACCTTTTATAACTGTTTACATTTTTTTTGGTGAAAGAGCAGATCAGTGCTCTAAGAAAAACCTGTTGTACTTCTATTCCAATGTTTAATTTACGGAAAAGCTGAATTAATACCCTTTTAACTTTAGCCAATATATTTACACACAGAATCTCTGACAATTAATTTCTATAAATCTTCCACAACTTGTTTAAACATTTAGATGTTCTTTCTTACTTAAAACAATCCTTTAACACTTTAGGTAGAAAAAAAATCCACATTTCCATGACTTCTTATAATCATTTACCAAAAACACATTTTACTTTCTTTACATACCTTGCATGTAAAAATGTTTCTTTGGTAGTTTTAATTACATATTATTATGTTAACTTTTAGCAACTTCTATTGCTGGTGAAAACCTTGGCAAATTTGAGACTTTAATTCTGTAGGAGATGTCGAGCCTAGCCCAGGACATACGAGGCAGAAATAGGAGTAAGGGCTGACTCTCCTGCATGCCTCTGACAGTTTGACTTTGAGTGAGGAGAAATGAAAGGCTTTTTAGCCTTTAGTTCTAAGCTCTAAGCTGCCCCTGATGCAGTCACAAATAATTTCTTAGAGCTTAATCTAGATTAGTAAATTTACTATTGGGGATTGGAACCAAAAGCCACAGTTAATAGTAACATATTATAATACTTTCCTTTGCTATTGTTACTTACGCATATGTCTTCCTCTGAAGAACTCATGGGAATAAGAATTGTGTAAAACAAGAAGGAATTTGTTTATTTTTGTACCTACTGACTGATCCCACATAACACACAATGACCATATGCTTTTATTATGGAAATTCCTGAAATTAGCAATAGGTACTGTTTCGGGGGAAAAACTTTTCAACAGGTATGGAATTCTTTCTTTTGGGTGGGTCAGGACACGGAGTTGGGGGACGAGGGAGAAGACACACTGAGAAATCAACTTGAAACCATAAGAAAGGCAACCTGGAAAGTAATAGTCTATAGCCGCCCAGGTCTGGCTTTTTGGGATATTTTTATATTCCTCTTAGGGACTGATTTTTCCCTAATAAAAATGTACGGAGATGCTGTCGGGGACATTGATGTCATGAAGACAAGAGGCAGCTGAGGTTAACCACCGTTTTAAAACTTTGTCCTACTTGGAGACCTCATGAAATTCTGTTGTGCAAATGCAGGACCATTTAGTAGACTGAGAGCCCCTCTCCCACTGGTCTCCAGCCCCTAGCTCCTCTGCAGATGGCAGCTACTCCCTGGTCCCCCCTCCCACAGGGAGGCCTTTTCACCTGCATTTGTGTCTCCTGAATCCCTGTCAGTCAAAGGGGCCTCCCTGGGTGGGGGCCCTGAAGGTGTCAGACAGGCCCTGACCCAGAGCCTGGGGAGGAGAGGGACGGTGGAGAGGAGGAACAAGCAGGACTTCCCTTCCCCACAGGGCTCTGCAGCCTCCCTTGCAGATCTGCCAAGAACTGAGCTGGGGCTGAAGGCAAGCCTGCCTCCCATTCTATTCAAAGTCACCCCTCTACCCACTGAAACAGATGAATATCTGATTGCCTCCTTTGGAAAAGCTAATCACACACTCAGAGCAATGTAGCCCTTTGTGTATCACCTCACTGTGACCTGGAAGCCCCCTCCCCACTTCCAGTCTTCCCGCCTTTGCTTCAAGTTGTTCCGCCTTTCCAGACGGAACCAATGTACTTCTTGCACATATTGACTGATGTCTCTTGTCTCCCTAAATGTATGAAACCAAGCTGTGCCCGACCACCATGCGCACATGTCACCAGGACTTCCTGGGCCGTGTCAAGGGCACATCCTCAACCTTGGCAAAATCAACTTTCTAAATCAACTGAGACCTGCCTTGGATTTTCGGGGTTCACAGGACATTTGTAAAAACTAAGAAATTAACAATGGTATAATATTATTAACTAAACCACAAGCTTCATTCAAATTTCTGCCATGTTTGCACTCACTCTTGTTAGTGCTTCTTTGCGTCCGGCATTATCACCTACTCTAAGTCATCTTGTGCCATTTTCCATGTACCAGTCCTACAGCTGGCCATTTCTCCAAGGACCCTCGTTTCTTTGTATTGGAGGATGGTACTCAGAAACCAAGATCTGGATGTTGGGTGTGCTCATTGATGCTGGGGTGTTACTGCTTCCAGATCCTCTAAGTGTGTAGAGACAGGAAATACATGCATGTATACCGACCCCCATGTACGCAAGTGTCAACAGCCATGCTAAAATAGTTCTGTAACCCCCAAATATCCTGTGAGGCCCATTACAGTAAACCATTTCCCACTCCCTCCACCACCGTCAACCTCTGCTCTGTTTTCCTTTCTTACAGTTCCACCTTTTCCAGATCCTCACACAAATGTAATTGTACAACAATTGTACCTTCAGGATTGTGGCTTATTTTACTGAGTAAACTCCAATTAGTATGCTTCTATGTTGCTGCATAAATCAGCATTGTCTCTTTGTGTTGCTGATTAATACTGCATATTATGGGTGCACTAGAATCGGTTCATCCATTCACCTTTTGAAAAACATCTTGGGTATTTTCAGTTTTTGAAATTTATGAATAAAGCTGTTATTAACATTCATATATGGTTTTTGTGTGAACAAACGTTTTCAGTTCACTTGGGTAAATATCCAGGAATGGCAAAGCTTGGCCCTATAAGTGTGTGTTTAATTTTATAAGAAATTGTCATACTGTCTTCCAAAGTGGCTATGTTATTTTAAATTTCCCATCAGTAACAAATGAGGTGTTACCGGCTTTTTAAATTTAAAATGAATATAGTACATATGTGGTGGTGTCTCATTTTAGTTTTAATTTTCATTTCTCATATGACAAGTGATGTTATGTATGTTTTATTATGTTTATTTTCTGTTCATAGACATTCTTTCATGAAGTGTCTATTCAGTTGTTTGACTCATTTAAAAACTTGGATTGCCTGTATTTTTGTTGTTGAGTTGTAAAAGTTCTTCATGTAGCTTTAGATAAAAATTCCTTTATCAGATATAGTCTTGGAAAATATTTTATTTTTCTTTAGGTATGTCTTCTTTCTCTTAACAGTGTTTTGTAAGGACCAAAAATTTTGTTTTAATAAAGTCTGATTTTTAATTTATTTATTTTATGAACAATGTTTTATCAATTTTAACAGCAAAAGTAACATTATTGATTTGATTTGAACACCTAGAGCAATGCCTGACAAGTAAGTATTTATACAATGTAGGAATACATAAATTAGTAAAGAAATAAATGAGTGAAAACTCCTGGTGAGACATTTTCAGACAGAGTAAAAACTTGCTGAGCTGGCCAGCTCTGCTGCTTTTGTTCGCTGAAGACCCAGCTGTGTCAGGCTGCTTTGAAGGGCAGCTTCTCAACTTCTGTAGGGGCAGAGGGGAGCCCACCTGCGTGGAGAATGGATGAAGTAACAGGTGCTACCTGTCCTGCCATGGGGCTTAGGAAATGAAGACCCCAGAATGGGAAAGAAGGCTCATAGCTGCCAAAAGAGCCTGCCTCCCACGGATCTGTAAAACTTGACCAGGAAACCACCAAGAACTGCTTCCTTGAATAGACTACTTATTCATGGTATTAAGAGGTTTATCTGGAGCCTTGAAGCAATTTGAGTTCAGCAATAACAGTGAGTACAGGATCCACCAAGACAAAGTAAAACCATGCATATCAAAATAGTGCTGAGGTTCTTACGCATACTGGACAACCAGTGCCGGGTAATAGATCCTAGACATTTACGACCTTAGAGGATATGAAGAAAGATGAGTTAGCAAGTCAGCTCAAAGCTGCCCTTCATCATTTGTTCATGTGGCACAGCATTTCTCAAATAATCGTAATGCGATTATGAAACACAACGGAAACTTTTATTGGGTACTGTTATAATGTATAAATAAGTGTTCTCATTTGGTAGCATTCTTTTAGAAAATAAAGTAATTCATTCATGTCACATTTAAAGAAAGTCATAAATGGAAACTCAATAAATTAGTTAGAAAATGCAAACTTTTCATGCAGT